TTGTTTCAAGGAAGATTGTAATCCTACCAAAAGATAAGTTCGATCGATTTCACGGAGATTTATCAATTTTCTAGAATACCCTAAGTGATAACTGCTTTACTGATCGCGAAAACAACTTACTGTGGCCCCTATTTTCATCTAGGAAATGGTGTTATCATGCCAAGTTCAAACGAACAATATGTTACATTTATTTCGGCTTTAGTGAGATAAACAGTGTCATGTTTTGGGCTTATTTTAATTCGCCATCAGGTTCATAGGATTCTGGTGTTGTGTACTCTGTCTATTGAACTCGAAGGACACAATCCTTGAGAAATGTCTAACAAATTCTTACCTACGATTCGAATAACAGAGCTTCATACATTGTTTATTACCACTTTCATAAAAGCAGTGTAGCATAGGAGGACAGCTCCGTTCTCACTTGGCAACACCATGTCTAGTACTATAATATTCTTAAGTGTAAAATAGAAGAATGTGATGTGTCCTCCATTGACTTTAGAAATTTGTGTGAGGTAAGTATGTAGTGACCCATTTTATTACTCATCATCGTACTATACTTTCATTGTGTAATTGTACTTTGATTTGTTTATTACTCTAAATCTTGCGTGTTAACAATTGATACATTTGTACTCGCTCAAGTTTTGAATTTTGATTACGGCGAGAATACACATTCCTACACTTTCTCGAGTGTCTTCTGATTTACGTTGTGTGTGTCGAGTAAGCACAACGTTAGGACACAATTGTAAACGAGAAGAAGTATTAGGATATTCGTATACGCTAGTTTAATCAAAATATAGCAGCACAACAAGTAATTGCATCCAATCGAATTCCACCGCTCTTGTCAACATATTTCTTCTGACAAACATTCTATTCTATTTTCAAATTTATAGAAGAATAATAACGAAGTCTTAACTATTTCCGGGATACTATACAACCTAATGAAGCGAGGAGCTGATAATAGTATACAAAAGTACAGATTCGTTATTTTCAAGCCTTCGTTTTCAGTGATCCCACTGATTTCAAATGGGATATCTTCACTAACTGCAAATACCACTTGAGGAAACACTAATTAAAGTACAGTACAAGGCGGTTGTTCCGTCTGGGTTTAAAAGTGCTCAGCAACACTCACTCACGACTCACTTAGTGATCGAGTTAATGCCACAATTACTTACAGTCACCCATTCACTCCTCTCATAATAAGACATAGCCTCAAGTGTTGCCAACATTATGACATAGGTTTTGGACAGTGAATGACAGTACGGGTGTTCGTAAGGCAGACGAAGATATGCTTGTCCAACCCATTGGATGGGGACACCACTTCCGGTAAGGCAAGTTAATCATCATATGAAAGGCGTCGGACTGGATCCGTTTTCGACCCTTTCTGTAGAATGAATACGAAGCTTATGTATCAAATATGGGTGTCTATGTGCATGCCTCAACATTAGAGCTGGATACACTGAAATGTTGCGGACTCCAACCACAAGTTCTTTTATTCAAACTCCACACTACAGCCAGTTCACAGAGACAGTCTGTGTGAGAGATTTATGGTGATTATTAACCTTTTTTAAGTTCCGCATTTAAAACGCAAAGCTTAACTGAATAATTCCTTGATTTATTTTTACACAAGGCTGAAAGAATTTTCAGCCAATATGTCATGCAAGGGATGGCGTTGAAGATTTTGACGCGTTGACTGCAAATATGTTATTGCCATTATGAGATAATCCAGGGACACGAAGATTTGAAGCGGAATCAAGACCTATGTTTAAAAGGTGGAAACAAGCAAAGTACTTCAGGGAAATGCTTTAAGAAAGTGGCGCAAAGAATATGTACTAATGCTTCATGCGAATGTCTTGTCAAAACTTGGAAATCAATGGTATGGTTTAACAGCACACAGGGCCAATATTGGTTGGTGACATCCAGTAATTGTAAAAAAGGTGCACCCTGTCAACAGTAGGTTGGTGAATGTTGATAAACTGAGAACAGGGAATAACGCATTGAATTTGAATATCGGAAAGATGTGTTTGCTTGAAGTGGTGTAATGTGAGAGGCTGGAGCCTGAGAGTGTTTGCAGCCACTAAGTCCTGCAATTCTTCAAAGGTGATGTACCAATTCACGGTTCACAAATTTAGATTACTGTCTCACTGTGCACAGTGTGTGCATAAAGTGAGCCTGTCACTTAAATTTGCTCTGCTCACTAATATTGACCAACACATCTACTAGCTCTACATGAGCTTGGTTTTCGGCAGACGTTTTCTCTGACATGTATGCAGCCTCATACCATCAGGGCCGTACAAATAGTCACACTTCTGTTTGTATTTTGCTGTATCACGTAATTTCTATCAAGCTTAAATAATGTTTGCTTCCGTTTCGCGTCTCGTGTCTTTATATATGGATTAGTGATAGTGGGTTTAAAAGCATCGAATGAGTTTCGATACACTGAGATGAGAGGCTGCAAGTGTGATGACGAAGAGGGCGACTCATTTAGCGTTCATGTGGACAAAGATTATTCGTCATATAGTGATCAGCAGTGTCAGGGTGTACTGGCATTGGGCAGCAGCCTCCCATGCAGGAGAGCTTGATGTCCACATCCACGTCCGCCACTATTCCCACCTAGGAAGGGTGAGTGCCAGCAGCGAAAGGGACTGCTGCTGCTAGACATGCAGAAGTATGTCTAGGGAAGAGCACCAAGTCAGGCAGATGTAACAGTTACCCTCGCAGATGTCGTTACGATAGGCAGAGTCTAGACAGCAAGATGTTAAAAAAACTGAAACATGAAGAATGAATCAATCAGCTTGTGATAGTGTTGGCCTACATCCTAGCCAATATTGCAATCTTTGTCAATATGTGGGAACATGCACAAGTGGGATGAGTATATGCCTCAAAATTTAGTCATGTCCGTGGTTACGCAGGTCATCACTGCACTAACTTATAGCGGTAGTTAATGAAAAAGGGATGAATTACTTTCCTGTGGGGAGTGTTTGGATGTAGACGGTATTGACGTTCGCGAATTGTACGGAGTATACTGACGCAAGATCTTATACCAACAACTTCTATAATATTCTTTTGTCGTGTACCAAAGAAAAAGCAAAAGACCAGATTTAGTCGTCCAAAGTACGAGATATATTTCGGGGCCAAATCGCGGGGTGAAGTGAATGCTTAGCTGACTAGTGATCGTGCACGCACGTGACACGACGGAGTACCAAATGGCAGGGATGCTTGACCAGAAGCTTTCACCTAAACAAGTCGACTTAAACAGTGAGGGCCAGCATCCAGTGTTGGGTGATGATTGCTGTGGTCAATAATTTTGGGGGATTATGTACCGCTACAAGTGCTTGTGTTGGGGAACATTCAATAAATGAACAGTGACTTGTTGGTGAGAACTAGTTTCCTGTTCCTCTAAGTCTTGAATATCCACCGCGGCATTGATGCCTATTCATTGAGACAAGATGTGGGTGATACGGTTAGTAGCAGTGCTGCACATTATGCTGATGTTTACTCGTAGATATCTGTACAATTAACCTAACCGTATTGGTCAATGTTGGTCGATTGGTATATCTTCGTATTACGCGCCTCACCCTCGCCACTGAATCAAGCTGAAGATGAGTTTGTTTTATCATCCATAAAGCTTATTCACAGTTAGGGCGAACTGCATTCCGTAAATGATAAATGGAGTTACTAACAAGAGCTTTTCTGTCACATTTGGAAAGTTACAATTAATTGTCCAACGCACAAAATCCTTTCAGAGGAAATGACTTGATCCTAACAATTTCGTAACAGCACTTGTGTCTGGGGGAAGTTCGAGGTATATCGATGGTGTTTTCATAAACCTCAGCAAAGCTTTCGGTAACGCCCACGGACCGAAATTGTTATTAAATTTCAAGTTTCTGGGACAACAAGAATCATGCCCAACTGGAGCAAGGAGTTCGTTGTAGGTAATGGATAAGTTGAAGATGATATCGAAATTGTCTTTCTGGACAGCGGTGAGCAGTGGTGTAGTACACTGTGCTGTTCTCCGGTCACTCTAATTTGGTGTGAATATCAGAGAATTACCTGGACTCGCCAAATCCACAGTTCATCCCTGAGTAGGTGACGTGAAATTTTTCAGTAGCTTGAAGGTGATTGCAGCATCCTTCGTTATCAACAGGGCTTAAAAATTTACCACATTGATGCGAAACTGTGTTTTCTCCACCATGAATATAGGGCACACATTATCACAGTATACGACATGCAAGGAATACCACTCCCTTCATTTCAGAAGCATGCGGACCTAGGCGTCAATGTAAGTAGTGTCCTGAAAACTACAGTGTGGTTCTGCACAGTGAAAGCACCTGCCTCTGTTTCCCTGTAGTCAGTAAGGATGTACCTCTCTCTCGAAACACCAGTAAAATATCCACCACCCTGTACTTATTTCTGGCGAGGTTGAAATTAGAAAACTGCATCCAGGCTGTCAACCCTCACCTAAAAGAAAGAAGGTATTTAAGAAATCCGATACACATTTCCTGATATAACCTACACTTGATGTGACCAGTAACTTAAAAGACGGATTCTCTTCTCTTTATATCATGGGAAGAGAGGAGATCTGACCAGGATGATCAAAATTCGACGGAGTGACTGAAGATATTTTCTAACTTCCATGTACCCTACCAGTAGATAGGAATATCTCCAAAGATACAATTGGTAAGTCCACATGACCAAGAACTATGCCATTATGGAGTACTGCTCCTTTCACCGTGTCATAATTCCCGAGTTCCAAGACAAAAACAGGAGTAAACTAAAAATGGAAAGCGTGCATGGCATACATGACAAATCAAGTCACTGGGTCTTCCAGGTCACTTCGATGGTTCTCTAGTAAAATCACTGGTGCCAACTACTATGATATAACTTCACTGGAGTAACTTATTCCTATAACATTTCACTCTTTATCCAAATGTGAATTTGAATATTTTCCTCACCTCTACAATTGGGCATTCAATACCTTCGACATTGAGTACGACAGAGCGCAACACAAATTAGAAACACGTTTTCGTTATAAATGCTCACTTGCAACTACAGAAAATGTAGGCAGCTACTAGACACCGATGCCATCGCCACCAGTTGTCAGCATATCTTCTGTGCAACACACAGTCCTCTTCATCTGAAAACCTCCGATGGCATGTTTCAATGTCCAGCCTGCAAATCCAGACTGCATGAGAATTCAGATATATATGAAGTGAGAATTACCCTGCTACATTCTAACCTAATCAGGTTAACTTGCAACCATGTGAACAGTTTCGAAGCATGATTCTGATGGGACAAACACCCGAAACTGTCTTGGACATATGTCGCAGAGCTATTGCATTTTACTCCACACAAACTGCTCAGGAAGTCAAATATTTAGAGTATGTCATTTACAAGCTCCAGGAAAAGTGCAAAGGTATGGAAAGTCAATTCAAGTCTCTGCTGAGCAACTATGAACAGAAGATCAAAAGCCTTCAAAATGAGAGGGATTCTGTAAGACATGTTTAGCATAATCTGTCTTTCTTTCAAGTTGCAGAAGGAGTGCGAAGAACTGCGAGATAAACTTGTATCGTCAAGTCACAAACTCTCGAAGTTGGAAAGTGATTTGAATCAGTTGAATTTGTCGAGGAGATCAGGATCCAGTCATGCACTTCCTGATTCTGGCCATTCCAATCTATCATCAGACACGCTACATCGAAAGTTTCCTAGGTGTTCACCTGACTCAACACGTCCGAGTCCATTTAGCGTGAATAGTCGGTGCTCTCAAATGTCTTTCTGCAGACGACCAGAACCTACCACATCCACTAACTGTTTTCTGGGCAACACATCACGTCAATCAACACCGAATCTAGTATTCCCCAATCACTTCCTCAATGGCGGAATACGAAATTTAACCAACAACGCTCGGAAATCGTTTTACAAATGAAAACGGCTTCTGAAATGTTACGTTTTGATAAAGGTATAAAGTTTTTGCTAAGAATAAATCACTGTCATTTAAGTTTGTTGACTTTTCAAACATAACAATCTCCATATGTTTGCTTTTAGGGGCAGATATGAGGAAGTCTAGGAAATAATTGTGACTTAATTTGAGAAACGAACACATGTCGGTTAGGATAAGTTTCCTTGGACTTTAATGATGATAGCAGACTGAACTGTCTTTACTAAAGATTCCAATTATCGCAATTGTCGATTAAGTATCAAACTCTTCATGTGTCAGTGTATCGTACAAATACTTAGTGGTTACTTGGAAAATCACGTTGCGCGAGGTACCTCGCTCTTCAGCATAGGGATTACACTCAATTGTGTGGGAAATTTCAGATGCAGCTTGCCGGCACTTTATGTTCTTGCAATCGACTTTCTCATCTTGTTGAACAGTTTACCAAGCATATCACTTTTCATTTGAAGTTTCAATTGTCATCTTTTCAATCAGCTAGCGATATTGGCTAGGACGCCCGCATATTGAGCATACCCATTGAGAATGAAAAAAGTAGCATTCAAGCTTGTCAATATTAACTTCAGTGACCTGTGGGTGAGTCACCTGACAGTTTACACAATTCAGAGTGTAGACTTCACGACCGGCGAAGGTTTATGCGCCAATTCTCAATATTCGGTCTTTGCTTTCTGTGTATTCTGTGGTATTTGTAGTGTCTCAAATCAGTTAACCTGTCCCCTTCTCTGAAAATATGAGACCAGTGTTACATCCTTGAATTGTGAGCACCGGTAAGATCATCTAATCCTCCGAAGTCAAAGGAATTCTCAACCCAGAACCTACCACTAAACTAGAGCTATGTAAGTCACAGAACTTAGTAAAGCACACATATAGGTGGGAGAAGCAGAAATGTAAAGGAAATATAAGGAACACAGGTGTATGGAGGGAAGGATAATTACAGAGGGAATAGTAGGAATTTACTTGATTTTAGAGGCCACAAGGCGTAAATGCATCTGTTCCATTGGGAAAACTGTCCAGCCTTGCCACCAACCGACTCCAATCATTGGTTCTTAGAGTCTCAGTAACCGTGAACAGGGGGTGCACACCTCTATAATTGACTAGCTAAAATCACAGGCTGATACCTGGTTTTAGATTTACCACTCATAATTCCTTTCCAGCCACATTCCACGTCAGCTAAGGTAGCTCATTGAGGAAGGCCATGCCTTGGCCTGCATAACACCAATGTCTTAGCCATTTCAATCTATACAACTTCACAACCACATCAACTGAGTCGCTCTCTAATATTTACCTAAGCATAATATTACTCACCAATATAACGCTGGGTAACACAGGAGATAGATTGTGTAGACCTATGGTCGAAGGCGGCTAGTCTTTTCAGACATTGTAATTTCAGGGGTTATGAAGAAGTGTTTAGCGAAATGCTGTACAAAACATACGTCTTTTGATCAATAGTTGAATTTGAATTAGTCCCACGAGTTCTAAGATTTCGTTAGCAGTAAATCCAATTTTTGGGGTGACAAACCTTTCAAACGAATGAAATGGCCAACAGGCCAAACCATTTCACTCAATATTCTTGAAGAAGGATTTCATGAGAACCAGTCCTGTGGCATTATTCTGCCTCTAACAGTGGAAAGTCATACACTATGGTCTCTACTTAAAGTGTCTAAAAGACTGTGTATAACTTTCGATGGATCATTATACCCTGTGTTGAAATTCGGAACCACCATTTCGATTAAATCGTTTACCTAACTTCAAAAACACAAATATTGGTTCTGATTCGTCACTGGAGAGTAATTAACGCCATGGATTTAGTCCTGGGTGATAGTACTGAGGGAACTTTATGAACCAGCAGGTTTGTGTCCCCGAAGAAAGGCATCAGTTACCTGGAGACTGAAGCTAAAAATAGCTAAATAATGGAAATAATCACAGAGAGTGGGCCTTTCTCCAACTTCTTCCAACAACACAAATCACCTGGTTCCACAATATTTAAATTTATTCTCCCATGACCGGACTCATATCACCATCTGACGCCCCCACGTCTCACTAATCGTTTCCCATTCGAGTTACGAACAATGGTGCGCTAGGGGTATGATGTTAGTCCACTGTCTCCTCAGCGTTTGTCTATTTCATCTTGACTTTATTCTGCATATTTGTGGGGTGATAGATATCTGACTGATTTGTCTGCAGAGTCACTTTATGCTTGTAGTATCAGGAAGGCCATCAAATATTCACTGTCAAGAAAGCCAAGGTGACATATAATAAAAGTCTATATCCTGTTGGGAAATGACTTCCATGAAGCGCTCTCCAAGTCTCTGAACCATATACAAGCAATGCTTGATTTTATATTAGTGTGGAAGATCCAGACCATGTTTCATGTGCTCAGTTCAGCAGACTTCCACACCGATTTCATAGTAACGAAGATTTTCGCCTCCAAATCTGGTGAGTTCCTACTTGGCTTTGTCACCCTGATCTATTAGATCAGTATCTGATTGATGCTGGCAAGTTAAATGACAAAGTCCACATAATTCTGCTAACTTTTCATTCATGATTCACATAAAATATGCTGTGTCATGTGTGTGGTAATGTAATGTGAAGGCTTCTATACTTCTAAAATATCCTCGTTCACTGTAAACAAAATATTAGGAATTGATCACTTGAATAGTGCACGGGTAGTTAAAGGAAGGCAATTCATTCAGGGCTTTATAAAGTTCAAATCTAATGTGTAATGAAACAGGGTTGAAGATAATTCACCAATGAACTTTTCACTAATGCACAAATCGTAGTTATTTATTTCTCCATCTGTAGTGAATAGATCAGCTTGAGTTAGAGAAACGAATTCCGGCGTAATGATGAAAACATATCGTTCTGTACTATTTGCAAGAATTACTCACCATTCCTTCTTCATTTTCGGTTTTCAGGATAGATCAATAAATGAAACATCTCTTAAACAACCAGTGAACACTAAATTATGCAGTACCTGACAACTACTTCATCCCTATCGGAATGTTGCAGAAGTACGCTTACGTGATGTTGGCAGGAGCTTACCCGGGTATCCACAGGTTCAGAGATCATTCTGTTGACCATTCAGCCACTGGAAAGGAGTCCAGAGGTGCATGAAATTTAATGAATGCAAGTTTGGGAGGATACTATTACCACTGCTATGAACTAATTTTTCATGTCAGTGTTTACAAAGCTGGAGCTTACAGGAACTAACTGTCGAAATAAATGTGTCTTCTCAAAACATCATCAAATAAATTTGCTACTGAAGAAACGTTTTCCAATGACGACCAGGACAATCTGTTATCACCACAACGAGATATCCATCTGTTCCTCACCAACTTACTTAAACCCTGAGATCTGATACGAATGACAGCTTGACACACAGATTGTCTTAAACACCTCGGATATTTGGACCTTGTGTTAAGATGCCTAATCACTACTCGAGTGTTCCAAGGAAGATGAAACTATTTGTTAGATTCTCTTTGATTTTCATCGATTCTCTATCTATTACCGGTTTGTGATGAGGTCTATACCGTAAGGTTACGGGAAGCACTTGGTGGAAAGTGTTGGACCAATAATGCATGTTAAATTACGTATCTGTGAACGCAAAGAGCCTGATATCACCCCTCTCCACACCAGAGATTAAAGCAGATGTCTAACTGTGGCGTAGTTAGCGATCTAACTAGTGTTTGCTCGATCACACGGTTGACCTCTTGTAGGACCAGTGAAAGGGGAAAAATGATGTTGTATCTGCACTGAAAATTCAACTCAGTTAAATATATTTAGATAGATCTATAAAGTAAGGAGACGAGAATCTTCTGAGAAATGTGTAATATCCTCCTCTTATGAAACAGTCAGTTCTCGTTTTCATTTCTCCACTTTCAGCATATAGTGCAGCATTGTATACACATAGACTGTTTCCTAGACTATTGTTCATTTTTCTATAGTTTCAGTTATCTCTACTAATACTACTAGTAAGTAGCCCGTGTTGGTGGACAAAAATGACCACATGATAAGAATTCTGAATATTATAGAATCCTGTCATTAAATTCATAGCAGATATAGAATACAAACAGTATTGTTTTCATTTAAGTCTTCACAAAGTTTAAACTGTGAAGCAGTGAAGGTGGCTTATACGTTAACAATGAGAAACCACGGGATACTGTGAGCATTCCCATAAAGTGCAGTGTGTATTTCGCCACGAAAACAAAAGGCTAGAGAACAATGGAAAATCAGCGAATAGCAGAAGGTTGTGTCGCACATGTTTAGGACACTTGAGCAATATCTACTCATTACCCAGATAAGAGTGGTATCCACAGTCGTCGGGATACGAAGTGACCACGTTAATATTCACCGGCTGACAACTGCTCAGTAAATATCCTAGAGTTCCGGTATGATATTGCTATCTGTAGAGTACAAAGATTACGACAATGACCTGACACTCGCATAGAATGTCACAGTTTCTGAAATGTTGAAATCGATATACCACGTGATCAGGCCCCACTGTCATGACGAAAATCTAGCATATTAACCTGAACGTCCTGAATTCGATCCTCGGAGGCGTTATGGGAGAGTGATATAGACTGAGCATTGTTCGAATTTCTTCCAACTGTTAATGGTTCATGATGTCACAATGAAAAAGCCACCGTCTTACACATCCTGCTGACCAGAATATGTCGGTTGCCACATATTCATTAGCTTATGTGAAATGATACAGATATAAGGGAGACACCATACATAGTCTATCTCAAGTCATTCA